TGGAAACAAATGCATGATTGAATCAATGAAATGCTGTGGTGTTACTTTTACAAAGATGATCAATGAAAAAATAAAGTATTGCTAAATAAGACAGTTACAAAGAATGTGGACCAGGGCAATACTTTGAGTTTGAGCTTGTCCAAGGTCATTCATTATTAATACTATTAGTAATATCTTCTGTAAAGACTTTGATGGTGACAGCTCAAATAAATTCCGGATACTATTATTTTTCTTGCGGTACCATGCGGTACCATGCGGTATTATGCGAGAATAAACAGTATTAATACAGTATTATACGGTAACTTGAGTTATACCGCAACAAGTGCACCGCATTATAATGCGGTATCGCCCGCTTGTTTTGAATGCCTGCATCTGTAATTCAATGTCTTTATCAGTATTATTCTTCTACTAGAATAGCAGTATTTTTTAACCCTTTCATGTAAAGGCAGTCAGATTACTGTCTTTTCTGGACTTAGAGAGATATATACTTTATGGCATGTTAAAGAAATTTAGAGAATTATTTGAATTTTAGGTTCTTTTGAGAACTGTAGATTAAGTCACAGGCAGGTTTTTTGATAGACTCTATGAAATGTCTAGAATCTTTACATAATGTAAACTTAAATTGATCAGATATCTAGCCATATAATAGTTTACATAACAGGATAGGTATGTTCAGGGCACAGCTATCCTAGTTACAGTACTTACCTTTAATCCACATTACTGTGTTCACCCAGTACTTATTGTTAATTGTTTTTATTAACAGCTAGCACTACTAATCTGTGGTTTTGTACAGTTTTATTTAATAACGTCATGTAGTCTTGTCATGTAGTCTTTATATAGACATATAGTGATATTTAAGGTTTATACTTAATGTAACATTTAATACAACTGCACAACAATATCTTATTAAATTTTTGAGTTGTAAAAATATTTGTAAGCTGCGAGACTAATATTCTGGCTATGTCTGTGTTATATTCAGTTAATGCATGCATCCTTTAAGAATATTTAAAATATTCTTGCATGAACTACTTTTTATTTTCAGTCTTCTTTTCTATCCTTGATAATGATAGGAAGATTGAAGGACCATTGAAGAAGAAAGGCATATTGTTGTTCGACACAAGAAAATACATAACAGACCAGAGTCTGTTTGAAATGCAATAGTGATCACTTATACCAAGGAAATCTGTAGAGGCTACTTCAATGCTCTAATTAGATGTTAAATCATTCATGGAAACAATGCAATCGCCTGCATTGTTCAAATTTTGTTAACTGGCATTAGCCATTATTTTACAGGTACTCAGATGCATGAAGGTTAAAAATATGCTGTTTAGGCACAAGGCACTAAAGCCCATGGTGTATTTCACTACAGATCATACGTTGGGTATTACATTGATATTTTGTCTGCAAGATTAATTGAGATGCTTTTCATCTAAATGCACTCTGTGCTCCAAAGAGGAATAATTAGCTTCCTCTTTTCCCCAAAAAACATTTCCTTTGCCGTTCACATTAAAGGATGAATTGCCTCATCTGCCCTTAAACTGGAGCTCAGTGCATGGCAAAGGAATCAGGGTGCAGGCTGCTCCTGTCTTACTGTACCACAGCATGTAAAATGTCTGTATTTTCATAAGAATTGGTGGTTATTAGTCCTGATCTGCTCAGTATCTGAATGCACTGAACCACAGGGGTCTGCATTTGATTTCAAATTATAAGTATGAACATTCAACAATATTTTAATGCTTTTTTTAGAATATTGTTTTCACATAACATAAAATTTGTCCGGGAACCAAATGCACATTGTGGCATCCTTTCAGGGAATTTAAGATCAATCAAGACCTTCATCCCAAACTTAATCTGTTTCAGGAAAATCGTATTGGATAGCATACAGAAGAAATACATTTGAAGCCATATTTTCAGCTACATGCTTTTCAGTTTACATGCTTAATTAAATTAAGTTGAAGATTTCCAACTTGAATATTGTTATTATGTCATAAAGTCTCATTGCTTCTTACTGTAAATGTGTTACACAGTGGACAAATATTTTCCAGTACCTGAAATATATATTTTTATGGAAGTGGAAAGAGGGGGCAGAGGAGATAATGGGACACATACAAAAATACAGATACTAAGAGGTATTTTAGGTAAAAATATGGATAGTTAATTTATTTTTCTATTCTGTAAATACAAGCATATCAATCTACAATTGACTGAGGCAGTGAGATTAAGTTCTTAATAAAGACACAGGTAGCATCATAAACTGAGTAGAAGAAAGTTACACTGTATTTCAAGTGTACTTCAAATAATTTGAAATGGGAAATATTTAATCATAGCTAAACCTAAGCAGAAAGAAAAAAAAACTAATTAAGCCTCTACCTCTGAGACACTAATCCTGCATGTCCATTCCCTGAAACATTGGGGGGAAAATTTAAACTTACATTTACTCTGTCTTTCATTTTTTACAGTTGGGATTTGTGAAAAAAAAACATCATTTTCTTACACTGAGTGCAAATGATATAATTGAACTAAAGAGGCACTGGAACACACAGTAATATTTGAGCATCAGATGGAGTCAGTTTTTAAAACAAGCTCGCATACTTAATACACATGCTTTATACACATAGTTCTCAGTGGAGAGGTGGGAAGTACAGTTGTGAGAAAAAGTTTTTGAATTATCTGGATTTCTGCATGAATGGCTCCTAAAATGTGATCTGATCTTCATCTAAGTCATAATAAGAAATAAAGTTAGTCTTATTTAACAGACAGTCTTATTAAAACACACACAACATTTTCCATTGCCATATATTTATTGAACAAATGGTTAAAACAATCAAGGTCATGGATTGAAAAGTATGTGAACCTCTAGGATAGTGACATCTTGAAAAGAGGGTACTTGGTGTCAGGTATTTCAATGAATAAGGCAGGTGTTCCAGTCAATTTAGGTGTGGGTTTGACCTGCCCTGCCGTATAAAAAGTCACACAAATTTGGTTACCTGTTCTTCACAACAGAATTCTGTTGAACTGCAATATGGCCGATCAAAAGAGATTTTAGAGGACCTCAGAAGAAGAGTTGTTGAAACACATAAGACTGGAAAGGGTTGCAAAAGGATTTCTAAAGACTTTGGCCTCCATCAGTCCACACTCAGGCAGATAGTTTACAAAGGAAGAAACTCAGCACCGTTGCTACTAGTGTTTCTAGGAGTGGGTGTCCTACAAAGATTAGAGCAGGGGCACGCAATACAATCCTCAAACAGGTGACAAAGAACCCTAGGGTGACAGCTAAGGATTTGCAGGTATCACTTGCACTTGATAACGTCTGTGTTCATGATTCTACCATAAGAAAAACACTGAACAAGAGTGGTGTTCATGGGAGGTTACCACGGAGGAAACTACTGCTCTCCAAAATAAACATTGCTGCCCATCTCACATTTGCTAAAGACCACCTGGATGTTAAATGTAAATGTGCACAGTGTTATGTTTGGAGAACATAAAACACTGCATACCAATACCAAAACCTCATCCTGGCTGTGAAGCATGGTGGAGGGAGTATAAGGGTGTGGGGCTGCTTTGCTGCCTCAGGGCCTGGACGGCTTCATTGAGGGACCAATGAATTCCAAGTTGTATCAGGAACTTCAACAGTAGAATGTCAGGGTATCTGTCTGTGATCTAAAATTCAAAAGATGTTGGGCCATGCAACATGACAATGATCCAAAACACAGGAGTTAATCAACAACAGAGTGGCTCAAACAAAAGAAATTCTGTATTTTAGAATTGCCAAGTAAGAGTTCTTACGTCAATCCCATTGAAATGCTGTGGCATTTTCTGAAGCAAGCCTTTCAAGCAAGACAAATATACATGAACCGAAACAGTTTTGTATAGGGGAATGAGCCAAAAAAACACTGCACAGGTCTGATCAGCAGCTACAGAAAGCATTTGGTTAAAGTTATTGCCAATAAAGGAGGTTCCACTGGTTACTAAATATAAGGGTTCACATACTTTTTCCATCAATGACCTTGATGGTTTAAACCATTTGTTCAATAAAGATATAGTAATGTAAAATGTTGTTTGCTAAATAAGACTGTCTTTATTTTTATGACTTAGATGAAGATCAGATCACATTTTAGGAGCCATTCATGCAGAAATCCATATAATTCCTAAGGGTTCACTTTTTTTCTCAACCGTATTTGGTTTAGTGGTTTAATGAAAAGAACTCTGTCAAATCTTTTGTGTTTTATATATGGACTCTTAAATTACTTAGCAAGTGTCACCTTGATTCCTTATTTTTACTTATATCCCAAATGGAATGTAAGTTAATAGATAAAGTTATGTATAAATGTTCATACTATATTCCAATAAAGATTACATTATATAGAAAATAATATAAAAATTACATTATTTCCTACATAAAAATCTGTATAAGCATGAATTCACTTCATTCAAGAATTTGATTTATCACTGTATATTTGTGCAACCATTTGTATTTTTAAATACTGTATGTTACTAGCAAAAAATTCCTTCTTTGGTTTTATACCTTAGGAATCTCTATTTTTGCTGTCTGAATATTGGAACTAAAATGAAAGCAACACTTCTTTTTAATGGGTCCAGAAAACCTTGTAGTTAAATATCCATTTGTTAAAAAAATATTGTTAGGTCCTTTCATCAGAACAAAGTTCCTTTCATATACAGTACATCATTCTGGTGATAACTAAAAAGCTAAAGAATGCCCATCTTTGAAAATAAATGATACTTTTGGATGTATAATTTTCATATACAAAAAACTGTTGTACATTCCTTTAAAACTTGATGATAGACACTTTCCAATAAATTAGTTTGGTAGAGCTTTTTATTGAGGTTGATAACATTTTTTTAATTATAATATGTTTCAATAATCTATTTTTAAAATGTGTTCATTGTTACTGTTTTTTTTTACTACATACTGTACCTGAGCTCACAGCATTACAGCCTTAACCTTTATTTGAATGAATATCTAATTTTTGCCTTGGCAGGCTTCCAACCTGTTTTACCCAGTCAGCAGCAAGGTTTCCAGGGCCTCATGGGAATGCAGCAGCCACCACAGAACCAGACCTTGATGCCTAGTCAGCAGGGGAATCAAGTCCAAGGCATGATGGTCCAGTATCCATCCATGTCTTCTTATCAGGTAATTGATTCAATTATTAGGCCAGCAATAGCAATAGCTAGAGCAGCTTATAATCATGTATTAATTGTATACAATTTTATCATCCCAAATAAAATACAAAACTCTAAAAGAACTTATATATAATGGTGGTAGATTTCAGGAGGAAAAAGGTCAAACCTACTCCTGTCTACATCCATGGGAGTGGCGTGGAGATGGTGGACTCGTACAAGTACCTGGGAGTGCACATCGACGATAGACTGGAATGGTCTAAGAACATCGAGGCCATCTATAAGAAGGGACAGAGCCGACTTTACTTCTTGAGGAGGCTCAGGTCCTTCAATGTGTGTAGTAAGATGCTACACATGTTCTATCAGTCGGTGGTAGCGAGTGCCATTTTCTACGCAGTGGTGTGTAGGGGCTCTGGGATTAGAGCAGTGGATTCCAAAAGGCTGAACAAGCTCATCAGGAGAGCAAGCTCTGTCATTGGGTCTGACCTGGACCCCTTGGAGGTAGTGGCTGAGAGGAGAATGATGTCCAAACTTGAGGCCATCATGGACAACTCCTCCCATCCCCTCTATGACAGGCTTGCAGGAATGAAGAGCACGTTCAGCAATAGACTGATTCATCCACGGTGCGACAGGGAGCGCTACAGGAGGTCATTCTTGCCTTCTGCCATAAGACTGTACAACGCATCCACCTTGCATCTTGGCAGAGGCAACATCGACAGTGACCTGTTTCTGGACTAAACACATCTACACATCTACTGCTACATCTGTTCTCTTTCTTTTTCTTTTTCTTTTTCCCGTTTACAACCATTTTTTGTGCAATATATGCCAGGGACCTGTGCAATACATTTATATTTATATCTATAGTTACATCTATATTTATATTCATATGTGTGATACGATTTTCTGTGTACTGTTCTGTTCTAGTTTGTTCTTGTGCGTCCGGACTGTGAGTAACTCTTGTATTGTATGTATTGAACTATTATTATATAATTCGTTACACTGTGGCTGTGTTGTGTGTGTTAAGCTGCTGTTGCACTGCAATTTCCCTCACGGAATCAATAAAGTATCTATCTACACCTAAAGAAAAAAAACTGGCACAGTACAGTTTGCAGTCATTTCGGAGCAGAACACCCCAGAAAAGTTGGCAGTGGTTTAGATTCCCTTATGATCTCAAACACTGAGATTTAATACTATTCCAGAATGGCTTACAGAAGCATAGCGAACATTGAGCAAGTCAGACTTCAAAAGTGCCTTCATAAGTGCCTTGAAGGTCAATCAATTTCTCTGAACCAAACAATCTTAAGTGCCCTGGGGCCTTGCCTGTGCTCATGTTATATGTTTTATTCTATAATGCATCACATTCAAGAATGGTTTTCCTCTAGACAATATACATTCTGACTGTTGTTGCATATTGCTTGAAATATTTTAGTAAAATAATATATGTTATAAAAATGACCATCAACCTATGGTACAGCAGTGGGCAACATCCATTATAATCTGATCTCTTCTTATGCTTTTGTCCAGGTGCCAATGACTCAAGGTTCTCAAGGAATACCACAACAGTCCTACCAACAAACAATCATGATACCAAGCCAGACAGGTCAAGGGACACTTTCTAGCCATGGGATTCCTGTCTACTGCAATGTTGTACCTCCATCTCCACCCAGTAGCCTGCGACTGGTCAGCCCTCACTGTCCCTCTAACAATGTGCCTGTAATCCAGGCTAACTGTAGGACAAACTGTACAAGTATGAGCAGTGCAGGATGGCAAGTAAAATACTGATACTGGCTGCATGCAGCTTGGAAAAGACAAGCCTTTTCAGTGCATTTTTGGACACTTGAAAAATTGCCTTTTAAAGAGAGAGAATGTCTGCCTGTTTGGTTGAAGAAATGAAATGTCCAATGATATCAGTTTGGTATTCTGTAAAAATAACTGGTAAATGGTGCATATTTTAGTCATGTCTCTGCTAGGGATGCCTTTGTAGCTTAGCTAGGTGACATGCATTCACTGAGTTAAGACTTCTTCCTTATCACTGATCACCACTGTGTAGATTGTAATAAAACGGAATCGGATTAGTTTTGTACTTTGTGTTGAGTTTGTGAAGCTAAAAGTATTTAATATATATATAATAAAATGATATTGTACCAAAGCTGTAATGGTTTTAAGAACTGCTGTATTGAAGGAATAATTTATATACACAATAGAGTTTTTTATGGATATATACTGTATTGTAGTGTTTAACCACAATAAAATTATTTGACCTCATGGAAAGAGGTCACATTTTTAATAACTGTGTGGTATACCTTTCTTTTACTTAATTGTTTTTTCTGGAAATTCACCATAAGAGGTAAACTTTCATTTTGAAGTTAATTTATTCATTATTTTATAAAGATTACTCTTTGAGACATTTCATTTAATAAGTGATCAAAACACAATATTCTATTCTCAAAAAGAAAGATTAATAACATTGACAGTCAAAATACAATACAGTTTACTTTTTAAATAATACATTATACATAAGGGAATACAAAATCGCTACTCTCCCTCTTAAGGGCGCTCCAGCCCTTCCTTTTTTTTCCCCCATTGCTTACACCTTTGCCCAGCCCCTGTTTAGTTCCACCTTTAAAGCCAGATGCAAGCGTTTGCCCGAGGCTTCTCATTGAATCCCGTTTCGTGAGGGCCCTGGGTCCTGCCGCATCTGGCTCCGTCAAGGTTTTAGTTTCCTGTTCCTTGTTCCCTGCCCCGCCGGTTCTGACCCGGTTCTTGTTTTTAGTTCCTTTGGATGGATTCCCTGGTCTTGGACTCTGCCTCCTGTATTGGATTCCCCTTTAGATATACCCTTGGATTGTTCGCCTTGGATTCATTCCCCAGGACACCTGCACTCCTCGGACACGCCTCCCGTCTCTAGACCCTTCTCCTGCATGACTATTTTCCCTATTGTATCCTCACAATTCCAGATCGTGTCGTCCGCATAGGGCCCGTAAAGAACTGATCGTTACAGTTTATTTGTAAATATACTACAGATGCAGCCATTCAAAATGCGCGGTACAAACCCGCGGTACGGTAAACTACCGACAAGCCACCGCCGGGCACCGCAGGGCACCTCAATAAGTGATTGGCTGTCCAAAATGACCGACAGGGGCACTCGTGGTGCATTGGTTGGTAGTGAAAAGATTTAAGCATTTAATGTCTTTACTGTGTACATTTTAGTCCGCTTAGTTTTGAATATATGGAATTTTACCACTAAAGGGAAATTTTAGTAGCTCAGCATAAAAAGAAGAGGAGCATAACATAAACATTACTGTATGTACGTAAACTGTACTGTGTATGGCTGGTCTTGGTAGTTTAAAGAAAAAATATACACCAGTCTTCCATTTCTCCCTAAACATTTTAAGAATGAAAGTTTTTTTGAAACGGTACCCAAATATGCGATTGCTGTATAAAATGAATTTTAATAAAAAAAAATTATTTAACACAAAAATTAAGCTGTTTACATCTTCCGCCTGAGAACAGTCACCCGTTGCTACCCAACGCAGAAACACAGCCACTAACTAGCAAAGAGAGGACATTA